TGGAGAGCCGTTAACCAATATGCAAATTAGCCTGCAGTACCACTGCTCTACCCATATGAGCAGCAAAAAGACGTTTTTAGACCAAAAATTACAGATTTGAACATGCATAAAAACATCAAAATTAGCACAGAAACAGTACTATATAACATTTTAGACACATTCTAGGCAGTTTATCAGCTAAAAAGTTAATTTTGGGATAAGTTTCTCTTTAATATTTTTTCATTCTGCTTCATAATGATAATGGTTTTAAACTTATAAAAAATAAAGCCGTCACATCCAGTTCTATATCTGCCCTACCTTCATGAGGTAGCTGATGCTTTTTTCACTGAAGACGTTTCTGAGGAAGACCAGGTCCTCTTTATGGTTGGCATCAGGGTGGAGCTGAGATGTGAGAAGGGCCAGAGTCTCGTGCAGCCCTGTGAAAAGTTAAAAATCATTTTTTATATAATAAATGACACAGGTAAACTATCTATTAAACTATTTGATTTAATAATTCTTCTGCCATTTAACATCCCTATTGAAGACTTGCAGGATCATTTGTTATTCCTTTGTTATTCATTTTCAAAATCAGAAGAAATGGATCTAAATAACACAAACCGGCCACATTACAGCTTGTGTATTATTTAGACACATGAACAAATGTAAGTTTCAGTGTACCTGCACTTGCCGACACGATGGGCATGTTTGATCATTCAGAGGATGAGGAGACAAGGAGGGAGACGTAGGACAGCTGCAGACTCTCACAAAAGCTCCAGTTTTCTCCAGTTTCTCACGTGAAGATGAAGATAAAAATCACAGGCTCCACTAGAAACAAAAACAAACACAWCAGTGCTCTAAAAACATGTAGATATCCACACTGGAAAAAAAAGAAAGCAAATAATTGAGCAAGTTCTTTATTTTTCCTGCAGTTATTTTTAGAGGTTTAATAGATTATTGACAATTACAATTTAAAAATCACTGCTAGGTAAAAACAAAGATAAAAACGAAAGCTTTTTGTGTGATGCTAACAGGAAGAAGATATTTTTTCATTTAAAAATCACCCAAATGTGAACMCTTCTGACAGAACTTGTATTCAGCCATGTCCTGACAGTGATCCATCAATTCATCACAGCGCTGAAGCTTCACTTTGTACAAATTAAGAGCTGCTCTCTTTGCTCAGGCATGAAGCTTTCATTTAATTATAAAGCGCTTGCTGCACTGGAAAAAGGCGAGGTCAAATAAAACWGAGCACTTTTGTCCAGAAAAATACTTCAACCCATCACCTTGGCAACGCTACAGTTGTTGTAATTTTGTCAAGTGAAAGCAGCAGTTTGTAGAAACATCTTTTTCCTAGCCGGAGAGTTTAGTACACTTCTGCAGAGACAGGGTTTCCTACAACAGCACGCAGCATCCAGGGGTGTACATGTTTATGCCGAAGGAACAATTGTAGTCAGTTCATTAATTATTCATAACTATTGATTTGCTTTCTGACACAGAGGGCTGGAACCTCAGACAGAAGAGATGTAACACAGTTAGAGATCAACKTATTCATGTTCAGTTCTGAGCTTTGTCAAAAATGTCAGAAGACTTTTGTCACTTGGTTTTACTGTCCTCTGTTTTGAGTTATTTTTCATTCATTCATTGTAATGTGCACAATGCAGTAGTAAAACTGCAAAAATAATAAAACATTTTTGTTGCAGTCTCACTGAACTTTGTTTATTACCAAGGAACTGAGGATAGGTTTGAGCAGCCATTTGTTAAAACTACTGGTCCTGTAAAAGTCACAAGACATTCTGGAGACTCGCTGATAAATGCTGTTTAACTGATCACAGACCAGTGAGATCCCTTCTTTACAGTCAATGTTATGTGTTTCTGGAAACATGAGTTTTAGGATTTAATGCTGTCTCCAACAACCATGTCTTCATTAATAATTCCATTAAACCATATATTGTGCATTTCTAAGAGAATTGTTTTACTTTTCAGAGTCAGATTTTTTTAAAACCCACACAAAAGAAAAAAAKGTGTTTCAAAATGCTGCCTCCTTCTGTTGAACCTTTTTCAACCGAAACTTGAACTCTGGCTTAATTAAAAAAATTATTAAATCATTTAAAAAAGGGCACCCAAGGTGGTGCCCTGTGATGGACTTGGTGTACCCCGCCCCTTACTGTGACTGCTGGRTATGGGCACCAGTGACCCATGTGACCTTGAAAGGAAGAAGTGGGTAAAAGATAATGGATCAATTTAAAAGCAGCAGAGACTGCCTATTACTACTTTATTTCATCTGACATTACCRTGATGACTAAATGACTTAAGTGACATTGAAGGAAATGTAACTGATTGTTTGTTAGATCCAATTTTGTATTTTTATACATTCTGATTGCAGTCATCTCATCATGTGYTCTGTCTTCATAACAAAGTTGGTTACGCTCTAATGTCTGACGTAAAAGTTACCTTCAGGAGTGTAACCAGGAAGAGACATATGTAAAAAGATGGATTCATCACTCCTGTGAGGCAGAAGTTTTTAGCAGAGGGTTTTTGTTAGTTTTTGTGCAGTCTCTCCCTTATATTCAGCCTGGGACAGACACTGCTCCTGAGAGTTTAGTTCAGATAAGGCGCCACATTTTACCTTCAGATGTTATGAAAATGCTGTATATATCAAAAATGCACTGCRTGGCCAAAAAAAGGTTGCCACCTGGATTTAACTAAGTGCTATGATCAGAATCAACTTTATTGTCATTCACACACAAAGATGCAATGCAGAATGAAATTGCAGTTTAGAACATCCATTCGGAGAAAGACACACATGACAAACATGGGGGAAAAATGTCCAAGGTCTTTCGCAATGATGGCCGTGCTACCTTTTGCAGCTTGGAATACACACAATAGGAAAGATGAGTTAAAAAAATATGTTCTGATCCTATGTTTACACAGAAACACAGAATCATACGCTMAAAAAAAAAACTGCTAGCTCAGTGCAAGGCAGCTAAGGAAAAGGAGGGGCCTGGGGATCAAACTCATGGTATGGGGTGGGGTTCAGCAAAGCCGGTGACATTTCAGGTTAGTACTCCGTGTTGGAACCAATCAAAGACCTCCACAGTCCAAAAAAGTTGTTGTCAATCAAAAGCACAAATCACTAGAGTCAGTTCTCTGTCTCCACCCATCGTAGCCTTCAGACTGATCCACCCATGGATGATACGGGTAGGGGATGGGAAGTCAAGCCTTTGTTTCACGTGTCATCCAGGAAGTTTGATAACTGCCGAGCCAAGGTCAGCAGCTGCMGGGATCCAAAAGATAAACAATTGTTTTAGGAAAAGCAGCCTTGATTTTCTCGCTGCTTTAAGTCTGTAACTGCATCTCTGTGATGGCGAAAATGCCAATGTTCCGAATTTCATTACCTCCTCGCCTCTCTTTCCATCTGAAACTTCACCCAGGTGTAATCTTACTCCTCACTGGCACGCTGCTGAACTGTGATTCTCATCAGAATCACGTCCAGTTTGTGACTTATATCCCCAAACATTTGAGTCTGTGCCTTTCCAGTACGGGAGATTCCATCCAAGGTTSCTGACAGTTTCTCACMGGCCCGGACTGCTGTCAGGATCRCTTTCATTTGCCGATGTGATGATATGATGTGAGGTTGCTGCAGTTGGTCAGGTCTGGGTTCAGCAACAGTTATGTATGAGTATGAATGAGGTCAGCTGACAAACTGAATATGCTTACTGACCAGGTTATTCCATCGATCTGTTTTTCTTCCCTGATGGCACGGACATGATCTGGAGGCACCTGCTCTCCTGTGAACGGGTGTTCTGAACTGTAATTTCCCCTTGGGATCAATAAAGTATCTATCTATCCATCTATCATTTTCCAAGATGACAATACCAGGATTCATCAGGCTGGAATTGTGAAAGGTTGTTCAGGGAGCATGAGACATCATTTTCACACCACAGAGTCTACTGAGAATCTTCGGGATGTGCTGAAGAAGGCTTTGTGCAGCGGTCAGATCTTTGTGACAAATTATTGTGAGATCTTTTTTTTTTTTTAGCCAGGCAGTGTAAATAGTCTAATAACCTAAACACTTTGAAATTAGCCTCTGTTTAAAATCCGCTTAATGTTTCTGACACTCCCACTTCAGCCTGTCTTCACAACAAAGCTTTGGGGGAGGGGTCCTCTGTGGGGCAAGAGTTCGGCTGCAGACTGAGCTCCAGGGAGGAGCTTTGTACAAATAGGCAGTGCCAGCAAGCGTTTAGGCAGCTCTACATGGCTACCACATGAGATTCAAGGATTTCTCAAACATATATGAATGAGTCAAAGCAACACTCTGGGTACGATTTTGATGAGAGAATGACTTAATGTGACATAAAGCTCAAAAAGTCCATTTTGCATAATTACCCCCACTTTAAAGATTTAAATGAGAGATTTTGCTTTAGTTACTTCTTTGCTTTTAAAACATTTAAAAAATGCATTATCACAAAAATTGGTTATTTTATTTAGACATGTCCCATTTTTATTTTTATTTTTTATTTTAAGTCTTGATGGAATGAACAAAATTTGATATGAAATAAGAAATAACTCCCAGATTTACTTGACACAGATATCTTTTCAAACATATTAAATAAGGTAAATTAGTGTTTCTGAAACGACCCTGCTAACTGTTACACTGGTTGGTGTCTGAGACGTTGATATGCTCAGTTCAAGGCTTGAAAACATCCGTCCACAAACCAGGAGGTGAGGTTTGTTGGAAAAAAAATTTTTTTTAATTGGATGGCCTCCCTTCTCCCCTTATAGCCATCCTCTCCACACCATTATGTTTTTTTGTGTGAAGAGAAAATAGAGAGAGAAGTAATTAGAAAGATAGAAAGACTGAAATAATGATTAGGAGTATATTAAATATACACCAACAAAACACAGGACCACACACGCAACATCTGTCCGCTCACCTGAAAAATAAATGGATAAATACATAGAGGGCATATATAAAAATATACACATACCCATACATATATAAAGATATACATACATACATGCCTACATTCATAAATATTGTCCGTATATACACGCAGACATATATACACACACTCAGTGACCAGTCAGAACCCCCCGGATCAGAGCACCTGTTTGTGAGCAGTTGTGAACATGCGTGTATATRCAAGATTTCTCCAATGGAATATTTAATAGTGACTGTGGAGGACCGAGACCCAACCCCCAAGACACGAGGCAGACATAGGGAAGACCAGAGCCCAAGGGCCCCGAGAGGAATCCCGAGCTCAGAGCCCCAAGGGGCACCCGCATGGGAAGATCCGCCCACCCACCCCCTAGATCAGACCGTAGGGGAGAACTGGGAGAGTCCCCCCAGCGACCACACACACAGCCCCCGGGGCCAGCAGCGACAAACTCATGGGCCCCACCAGCACCCGCCATACCAAAGCAGATCCAGGAAAGGGCACAGAGGTCCGGGCCCCTAGGGCGCACCCCCTCCAGGCCAAAGCCAGACAGGCCCAGAGGCCCCGAGCCCCAACAGGCAGTCGCCAGGCCAGGCCGGCACACACCCCAGCGCCCAGCCCCAGACCCCGGGAACCCCCAGCACGCCAGCGGCCAGCCGCACACCCCACCAGGGGGSCGAGTAGCAGCGGGCCCCCAGAAAAACCAGTAGTAGGGGCAGCCCAGACCGCAGCCTGACAAATACCCAAACATACACAATCGCACCATCCCACCCTCATCCTCACACCCACTCAATCAAAGACATTCAAGGACACCACATTCCACTCATACCCCCGATACACACTCTATAGCCCCCAGGTCCAGGACATGCACCCACCCCCTAATGGAGGCCGCACACACCTGAAATGGAAATCTAATTTCACCCGTTGGAAATCTAATTTGATTTAAACAACAACGTCAAGTTTTCTGAGTTAAGACATTTTGTGTTCCCAGCCATTATCTTGAATTCTTAGCCCCCAATCTCACTTTCTAATTACAAAAGCCTCAAATCCAACATCTGTGTCTTTTTTTTAAATCTCCCTCCATCTCACTGCGTCAAGTTACTGAATGTTTCCAGCGGCCATATGGTGCGTTTATCTAACCTCGTTGATTGAAGATGGCAGAGCTCCAAGCTGTGAAAATCACYGAGGATTTGTCTAAAACAATGACGCAGATAAGAGACCACATGTAGAACTGAGTCTGAGCAGGAGTGTGTTTTAACCAGCTTACTTCAACCTGGATGWCTCATGTTGCCAAACTAGAAACTCAGTTCAGTGTTCAGAGTTTAACCTCTCCACTCGCACATTAACAGGCGTGCACGCCACCTGCTCACCAGACTCATTGGCTGCTGGACGGGTCCCAAATGGGAGACAAAAGGGGGTGGGGGTGTGTGAGAAGGAGACAGCATTTACTGCTGCTGCCATCTGCCCAACCCTGTGTGTGACGGTCCATCCAGGAATCCACGCACACGCAGCTTATCTGACATGTTTGCATTCGACATTGTTCATTTCCATATCAGCTGGGAAAACAAGTTACCAGCTGTACAATCTGTGACATAATCTTTTTAAAAGAGGAAAATCAGGAAGTGTGCATCTAGAATTCACAAAGGACTATACTAAATTAGATTAAATATTAAAAACCTCCGTTACTGCAGTCTAAAGGATGTTTTAGTAAAATGCAAATTAATACTGAATCGTGTTCGCATGCAGTTCTAGAGTAAACAAACTGTGCAACTTGTATATGATACTGATTGTTTTTATTTATACTCCAGTTATTAAAAAAACATTTTCTGCTGCGTTTGCACCTCTCGCCCCCACATGCAAGCTATGTTTTAATCAAGGAAAATACAGATAAAAAACTGTCCTTTTAAATGAATAAAACGATTAAACGTGGCAGTAGCAGATCATCAGTAATAAAGGTATTTTCTAAAAGTCAACATTACTTGAAGCACATAGTGTTTGTTGCTGTTTACATTGGTGCTGCTGCAGTTTGCCTCCCGAACCGAGGGTGTCGCTGAAGAGAAAAGCAACACAGATGAACAGCAGGAAAAAGTTGTCCACAAAGAACCACATTTAGACTTTGTCATCTCTAGTGGTTGTGGTAACGACTGGCACTACAAGAGATAGAAATAATAAAAATAAATAAATAACCAAGTAGTGTTGAGAGCAGGTCAAACCTCTGACGACTGTTGACCAAAGAGTCACTGATWATAGAGGTACTTTAAGGTTTACTCTAGGTTTTAACTGGCCTTCGATAATACACCATACTTRCAGAGGAGTCAGGAGGCAGACTGTCCTTAAGAGGCTTAAGGGAAAATCACTTGAAACACCTTTAGCACGCCCACTCAGAYGCAGCGGGAAAGAAAAGATCATGCCAACACTTCCACAGCGAAGAGAATAAACATGCTTTTGTGTCTGAGGGGAGGGAAACCCAACAATCGTGTGTATTTGACAAAAGCAATCCAAACCTCAACAGCCACCGTTTTTCTTTTTTGTTGTCACTGTTGTTTGGTTGTTGTTGTTGTTGTTTTACTGGCAGAGGAGCTTGATGTAAAAAGTGATAAAAGAATTTGGATCCAAACCTCAGAGGCTTTTTATCTTTGACTCATAACTACAACTGAGCTCATTGTAATGATCCAATTAAAGCAAACTGAATGTAGAAAAGGGGACACGCATGGATGGAGCATGAGAGGGTTTATTATAAGGGGTAAACCTAAAAGCCCACCGTAACCTTATCAAATGTGGTCGTTCTTCATTTGGTGAACCTGAAAAGAAAAAGTTCATTTTTAGGCACTCCAGGGATCAATTTGACTTTTTTGGTTCACAAATGCAGGTGCGTATCCCCCAGTCTCCAGTGTTTGTTTAGTGAAAGCACAGAGTTTGACTCTGACCTTCACCCAATAATCACTGTCTGTTTATTAAAGCAGAAAGCAGTCTGGCACAGTTCAGGCCTGTCATGTCTCTGGGGGGACTGGCTCGTCAACAGTTTGCTTTGTCTGCTTATTGAAATTAAAAACTGAATAATGTGTTATAGTATAAACAGTATTAGGATGGGTTTAGACTACAAAACTACCCCAGTAGCATTTTAATGAAGAGCGGCCCATCAATCAACCACAGGTGAAACACGCCCCTCATTATCATGCAGCATTATATTCCTCGAACCTCACTTCGCAAAGAGCAACAAAACACAGCTTCTTTTTTTTTTACACTAAACCGTATAATTTTAGGTCTAGACGTGTGCAGTTAACGACAGTCTGTGAAGCTGCATGTTTGTGAGTCGCTTCTTGTCTCACGCAGGCTGGAAACCTGTTAATTGAGCGYCGCGCGCACTGAAAGCATCTTTACCTTGTTGAGGCTTCCCTCAGCCGCGTGCCGTCATCTCCGTGTCTTTGTCTCAGCRCCGCTTCAAGCGACAACAACGCTCCGTCCTGTCTCTGTTCACTCTGTCTGGRGCTGGCTGCCACACGTTCCCATTTATTTTTCCCGTTTCTTCCAGTTTGTCTTCGAGAGCCGCCCCTTGCCCCCGCCCTCCGACCGCCCTCTTCTCTTCCCTCCCAGCTCTCCTCGTGCTGCCTTCAGGAGCTCCTCGTTAATTCCACACGATTTGGGCCAATGACAAATATAAAAATAATTCTGACTTTAATTTCAGAATTCTAAGGGAAAAAATCTGATTTTTTTTTTCAGTAATTCTCACAGAAGTTTGGATTTTAAAATACCACCTGGCAAGAAAAGAAAAAAAATGTTGCTTTTCAAGCAGGGTAACACCTCACAATGCAAATTGGCACTAAAGTTCTCATTTAGCTATAAAAAAAGCAAATTTGTCTTAAAATTAAATCAGCCTTCTAATTTCTAGTTACTTTGCAGCTTAGAACAGAATGAAATTTAAGACCTAGCATTCCTGAAAGAATGCATATCACCTGCTGGAATTATGTCACTGTTTAAAATTGAAATCATTTAAATKCTAAGTGTGGATGGAGTTATATGTAATATGACATCTTGTCAGATGTGTAAATGCTCAGAATATATCATTTGGATACTACCACAGCTTACTATTTTTAAAAACTGACTAAATAACAGTGTCTTGTGTTGGCTACAGTCACTTAGCTGTGGTGGCCATCTTAATTTGAAGTAATCCAAAAGTTAAACAGTTGTACATATATACAATGATTACTGCCTGAGAGTTTCATCAAGATCTGTCCAGTCGTTTCTCGTTCGTGAGATGTTTTGCTAACAGTACAGACAAATGAACACACACATTGGGCAATAAAGATACCGTGTGTATTAGTTCATAAATACACATGTATAAAACTTGGTATCTAACAACCAGACTTTGTATTTCACCTTAACAGATAAAAAATGGTTTTAGCTTTCACATTTACTTCCATTCTACATTTCAGTGTTGATTCATTGCAAATATAATATTGCAGACTCTACATAAAAATGTACCTCCATACAATCAGAGAGGCAGCTTTTTAAAGTACTAATCACCAGGAAACAAAACAAAACAAAAAAAAAACTAACACTATTGTACAGTATAATCCAGTTTCTAGTTTCGTTTTTCAGAAACTTAATGAAACAGTTTCTAATTTTAAATCAAATTTAAAGAAAATACATTAAGAGCTTTAATGTGTAATAAGAATATTTGTCTTCTTTGCACCATGATGAGAGGATTTTAGCAGCGTGTCCTATTTTACCTACAATTATTAAATGATTTATTTTTATGGTTTTGTTTTAAAAACTGAGGAAATAAAAGTTGTCAGATAAATAGGCACTGAATTATTAATACAGTTAATATAAAGAGAGGGGAAGGGAAAAACCAGACATGTTTAGATAGATGAGGTCCACAATGTTATCAGGTGTTTCTTTATAAAACTGTTGGAGTAACCTGTTTTGATGAAAGTGCTAATGCTAAAATACTTTAATAGATTTTATTTATTGCAGTCATTTTTTGTTTTATAATCCATGTTTTTATCCTTTGTAGAATACTATCCATGAATCAGCTTTTCCGACAGCACCTGAATGCACCACAGTGCTCACACATGCTGTGAGCC